AAAAATCAATAGAAATAAAAAATTAAAGAAATAAAAGTTTTAAATTTCGTTTTTCTGAACCAACCATGATAAAAAAGTTAAAATATGTTACTAAAAAAAATGTTTAAAAAACAAAAAATGAGCATGTTTTTTACTAGACGTGTGTAAAGATATACAAAATTTTTTCCACTTTGGTTGTGAAAAGCATAGGCATCAAATTCGAATTTAAAATCTGTGATTTCAATAATTTTCCAAAATCATACTAGGTCGTGGCGTTGCTATGAAAATTAGTGTTATTTGTTTTCTTTATCACACTTTTTGACACTGGTGATAAAATAATGTCATATTTTATAACTAGGGATAAAATTAAACACATTTGACAACTAAAATGACATATCACAATGGTTGCTTTTCACAACAAAATTGGAAAATAAATAGTTTACCGCTAACGGAATAAAACTTATTCCGAAAAAATGTCTTAGGCTAACTTCCAGGGGGAAGGAAGCCTTCAAACTGTTTATTTTGAGGAAAATCAACCCTAGACTTTGTATAGCTTCATATCGAGATTTATAAGTAACAAGTAATTGTTTTCAGACCGAAAAAAAATTCAATTTGCAGAATATCGAAGTATTTCTAAAATTTCCAAAACACCTACGTATTCATAGGTATTCATAGTCTCATTTTCACTTTTATGAAAGAGGGGCCTCAAAAGTTGTTCTTGTTTCCTCTAAAAAATGTCCAGATTTACATGACTGTGACAAACTATTAAATCATAGGCCTAATTCACTATTTTCAATTTTCTCAATCATTATCAAAACTATATACTGAAGTACCAAGATATTTATGTCCTTGAGCCATTGTACTTATTTATAAAAGATAACAAACATATTATGCTTATGTTGGTTCTTTGGGATAACTGTGACTCTGGTGTAATTAAACACCAATGTTAAATTTGCAAGATACAATGTAATGAAATATTTGTATCATCTCATACACCAGTTTAAAAAGCGCAACCATGGTTAAAAGTTGGTTCCTTGTGTTAATTGTGCCTTTGGTTCTGTGTTCAGAACCCAACATTGTTGTGGTACCGAAATTTGGGATTGTATCACAAGTGATGGAATTCACTTTGAATAACACGATCGAGTATTTGCTTTTTTTGCACCCTGAAAACACCTCCAATCCTTACTCCATCAAAGCTTGGAGTGATTCATCATCACAACATAACCCAATTTTGATCGTTGTTAATCAAGGAATGGACACTTTATCATGGTCGGTACCATTTTCCATAAATCAAACCGAAGTTTATTATAACACTTCCCGGACTTTGTGTGACTCAAATATCAAAAATTTTACTATCACTTTATCAACTTTGTCACCAAATAACACAAAAGTGTCGGTTTTTGTCACAGAGGAACGTTTTTTTCACATAGTGAATGGCAAAACGCACACTATTGAAATTTTACCGAGCGAACCTCGATATTTTTCCTACGACTACGTCCCTAAGAGTAACACTTCTATTGTTACTATAGAAATTGACTCTGACGATGAGACTTGTCTGAAGGTTTCAGTTCAGAAACATGAAGTAAGTGCAGCTTTGGTGAAATTGTGGTTAGATTTACTTTTTCAGTGTCCAGTKRTGGACTCGAATAATTTRATCAATTATCAAGGTTTCCACCAGACGATTCTGACAAAAGGCGGCATGAGGATTAGAGTAAGACAAGCAAATATAAATTTTTTGAAAATAGTTCAATTTCAGAAAAAATACTACCCTGGTGGTTTCTTTCTCCTGTTTCTTGTAGTTGAAGATGAAATGTGTAACAAAAAATATCGGCCATTTCTTCTCAATCAGAAACAATCCTCCATAGTTCATTTCACGGTTATTGAAAATATAGAAAACAAACATTATTACCTGAAATCAATTTTTGGAGTTCTCGGTTGCCTTATTGCATTCAGTGCTGTTGCAATTGGCACATTTCTTGTTTTTGAAAAATATAGAAGAAAAATTTGGGAAAATATTCAAGTAATTTTGATTAATATCAATGAAGAGGAGCAAGAAATTTGTGAAGATACGGATGAAAATAATCAGCAAATTTCAACAAATGCTGATGAAGAAAAAGACGAGCAGTGTTTAGCCAATTTTTCGCAAAAAATCGAAAAGAACCAAAAACGATCAATGAACTATCTGTGGCAAATRCTAAATGTTGGTCTTTTTTACTTAATTCCAGCCATCCAACTTGTGGTCACACTTCAATCACTTCTCATCCAAACTGGAGATTTCGACATGTGTTACTACAATTTCCGATGRGCCAATCCGCTTTGGATTTTTTCAGATTTTAATCACGTTTTTTCAAACATTGGGTATATCGTAGCGGGAATTTTATTTTGCTTCAATGTCTTCTATCGTCATTTTTARTCACCACCATTGAACGTAAGTTTGGAAACACKCTTGGATAGAAAAAACTGTGTATTAAACTCTTCCAGATCGGAGTACCAGCGAATTATGGTGTGTTTTACGCCATGGGTGTTGCGTTAATTATCGAAGGTGTTTTGTCAGGGTGTTACCACTTGTGTCCCAATGAACCAAATTTCCAATTTGGTAGGTTAAAAAATTAAGTGTGTAACTCCACAATCAAGATTTTTCCAGATACGAGTTTCATGTATGTCATGGTTGTGCTGTGTTTGGTGAAGTTGTACCAAAATCGACATTCGGATGTCACACCGACGGCTTATACCACTTTTAGTATACTGGGAGGAACGATTTTGTGTGGTAAATCTCGTGTCGCAAAACATTTAATTGGGTTTTTGGATGTGGAAATGACGATTCCAGAAATTAATATCTCTTACAACAATTACTTTTCGAGTTCTTGAATTATATAAAAAATACAATTTTTCCAATTATTTTGCGCCACAAGAAGATATTTTTTGTTAGATCGGTTAAAATGCTCTGCGACGAGTGGTTTTCGAAATATTAAACTACTCAAATCAAGAATGCGTTTGTGGCCAAAACGCTATTCCAAATTTTCATTGGCGACAAAAAATTTTGATAAATTCGTTAAAATAAAAAATCTTCACATTTTCGAAGACCAAAATGTGATAATTATCATATTTTAGGCACACTTGGGATTTTGTTCGAGAGCCATTTCATCGTTGTCGTTCTTGTAAGCATCGTCTATTTCGCATTGTCGGTTTACTTATTTTTGAACATTTATTCCTTCGGTGCTGCTCGTGATGTTTTGCGACGTTTTTTTCGGCAAGACTACGAAGTCCAAAATCCTGTCCAAACACCAAACAAAGCGCGTTGGTGGTTATTGTTAATTGCAAAAACCATCAATATTTTGTTATTCGCAGTGGGACTAACTCTGGTGCTCACACACAAAATCGATTTTGGGACTTTTCTTTTACTAATTTTAGCAGGCAATGCTATACTATACACTCTGATGTATACAATCATGAAGGTTGTTCCCCCAATTGTGATTTTTTTCTTTAATTTGMATTTTTTTAGTTAATTTATTGTGAGTGTGGATTAACTTCCATTCAAGGAGTGATTTATGGGGTTCTAGCAGTGGCAACTTGGATCCCAGCTGGAGTGTTCTTCTTCAACCAGAGCTCAAAATGGACTGTGAGTTCTTGAAAGTCCCAAAGACAAACTAATATTTTTTTTCAGGAAAGTCCAGCCCAATCCCGCCAACTCAACCAACAATGCATCTTCGCGGACTTCTTCGACAGCCACGACCTCTGGCACTTTCTCAGCTCTTTAGCACTTTATTTCACTTTCATGTTCTTGTTATGTATCGACGACAACCTTTACGAAAGACGCACAAATATCCCTTTATTCTAAAATAAATAATCATTTTTTGTGTCATGTTTGTTGGTGACAAGCACCCACGCCCCCCAAGAACGTCCAAACCACTCGCCATTCCCTATTTAAGAAAATCCCCCGATCCAGTGTCCCAGTCAGTCCTCGCGATGAGATGCGAAACGTTCGTTGCGATTCTGGTCGCTCTAGGGGCGGCCCACGCCTACCCCTACGACTTCAAATACCTGGATCGAGACGTGAGCATCCCTAATCCCGATTAATCCCTTAAACTTTTGACAGTATGCCAGTCCAGGGGCCCACCAACTGGCCAGCTGGATCGCCTCGCAGCTGCGCTCCAAGGAGTACATCGCGCCGCAGGAAGCCCCCATCTTGCCCTACAGACTCCCGCTGCAAGGGAAGAGGAATTCGGAGGTTAGCAATGCGATTATCGGGTCCGAGGAGACGCAGAAGATGTATCGAGACGGCCGGAAATAGATCATCGATAATTGTGACATGTATTACGTAAAATGCTCGAAAGGATACTAATAAATCAATTGATTCAAAACTTGTTTTTTATTTTCTCAAACCACAATACAAAATTTGTTTAGTATAAATAAATTATCTAAAATACGGGAATTTCCTCGCGTTTCTTATCGACTAGATCATCGTCCAAACTTAACAAAAACATGAAAGTTAGATAAAGGGCTGGGGCACTCAGTAAGTGCCAAACGTCGTGTTTGTCGTAGAAATTCATCACGATGCATTCTTGGTTCCATTGGCGGGATTCGGCAGGAGTGACCTAGAAATATATTTTTTTATTTATTGACTAGTTGATGGAAAAAAATTACAGTCCAAAGAGTTGCGTTGTCTAAAAAGTATACAGTGGCAGTGGCCCAGGTTGCTATTCCCAAAATTCCGTAAATTATGGCCTCGAAACAGATCCTTTCGCCATTGACTAGCTGTAAATTAAGATTTGAGAGTAACAAAAGTCGCAAATTGCCCAAAAATATTAAACTGTACATGAATTACAAAAATAAGACCAAAATAAAACTATGATGATTACAAATTACGTTTACAACTTATGATTACAAACTGCAATTGCGACTTATATTTTTTTAACAACATTACAATAATTTTATTATTTATTTACTGTTACGACTGTTACTTTTCGATTACATGGGAAGACAAATTTGGCCGAAAATTGAAATTTAAGCAATTATTTTTATAAAATACATTGATTTAGAATGATTTCTGAGTTAAAATCGAGCAAAATTGGATTTAAAATATCTAAAATTTCTTTATTTTTGCAGAAAAATGTTATTTAAGCATTGATTTTGTTTAAATACATTGATTTAGGTTGATTTCTGGCTTAAAATTGAGCTAAATCGATTGGAAATAGCACAAATTGCTTCATTTTGGCCGAAAATTGTAATTTAAGCAATTATTTTTATAAAACACACTGATTTATCATGATTTCTGAGTTAAAATCGAACAAAATTGTATTGACAATAGCTAAAATTTCTTTATTGTTGCAGAAAAGTGTTATTTAAGCATTGATCTTGTTGAAATACATTGATTTAGATTGATTTCTGGCTTAAAATCGAGCAAAATTGCATTGAAAATATCTAAAATTTCTTTATTTTTGCAGAAAACTGTTATTTAAGCATTGATTTTGTTTAAATACATTGATTTAGGTTGATTTCTGGCTCAAAAGTGAGCTAAATCAATTGAAAATAGCACACATTGCATTATTTTAGCCGAAAATTGTAATTTAAGCAATTATTTTTATAAAATATACTGATTTAGAATGATTTCTGGGTTAAAATCGAGCAAAATTGGATTGGAAATAGCACAAATTGCTTTATTTTGGCAGCCAAATAATACTCTGACGACTTACGATTACAAATTACGACTTACGATTATTCAAGTTTATAATGTATAATTACAAATTGGAAATTGCGATTGCAATTTATCTTTTTTTTTCCAAAGCATTACAAAAGTTTTAGCAATGTTAGTTAAGACTTTCACCTTTCAAATGTGGTTTACGACTGCTTTGTGAGTGAGACCAAAATTTAACTTASGATTACGACAACGAATTACACGACTATGGACGAATTACTTTAATYATTTAAAAAAATACGACTTATTTGTGACGATTAAACGTTACACTAATTACAAGTTACGACTTACAATTACAAATTAAACTGACAAAATACGATCGATAACTTACATTTGTTTGAGATTCCGATTTGTGGTTTTACGTTACAAATTACGACCTTTTTTAATCACTTACAACATTTTTTTATTGTAAAATTAATAATAATTAATTAAGAAAAAATACTTTTTAGTTGTTGTTTATTACATTAACTATTACGACTCCTTTGTAAATAGCAGCTAAACTTTTTTTACGATTATAGATGAGTCGTTTTGATAATTTTAAAAGAATTTGCGAGTGGTTTGTGAAAACTAAACATTACATTTACGACTTACAATTATTATACTTTACTTACGACTTACCGTCTTTATAAAGGGAATTACAATGATTTAGCGATGAAAATTTACGATTAGAATTTACGATTGAGACTCATAGTTGTCAATATAACGACTTTTACTTCGTAGTCGGTTTACAATCATTACAAGTCTTTTGTAAGCAAAATTTGCCTTACGATTACACAAATTTACAATTACGATTATAGATAAATGGTCTTGATAATTTTTATAAACATTACACTTATAAATTACAACTTACGATTACACAGTGTGACTTACAATTTGATTTACGATGGTTTATGTTTACCAACGATTCAGACTTATAATTCCACGTTTTTATTATTAGATTACTTAACGCGTTTACGATTTATTGTTTTTGTAAACGAAATTACAATGTTTTTACGATTACATCAACGACTTACGATTACGCCTTTTACTTTAGAATTATGATTTAGGATTACTTATAACGATTCTCTCGTAATCGGCATTAAATTAATATTTCTATTAAATTAACTTACAATTACGAGAATTTATATAATCATGATTGATTATTGTAACTTATTAAACGTAGAAATTGGTAATAAGAACATTAAACTTTAGTTAAACCACAATTTTTAATAGAATTTACAATTTTTTAAATTAAAGTTGCGATTTACAATTTATTCTAAAGTAGGTTTGCGACCCGCAGTTGTAATTCTTGATTGCAACTATATTGTCGACTTGCTACTTTAATTAGATTATGTAAGTAGAATTAATGTTAAATTACGATTTGCGACTGTAAAAATTGCGACTTACAAAATTTTACGAAAACTTTACTCTCAAATTATTTCTAGTTATTCTAAAAGGTTATGTAGTTAAAAAGAAATGAATTTTACTTTATCTGTAACAAAATAGTTAACCAACCTTCATTCCTGTGTAAAAAACTGCATAAAGCACTGAATTTCCCATCAACAATCCTAGAAGAAAAGTCCCAAAATCGGTAACTCCGGTGTTGTAGAGACAAAGTCCAGTTATCAACATCGCATAATTGATCACATTTGCAATCACAAGAAGGGCAAAACGGCCTAAAACGCAAAATTACAACATTTGTGTGACTTTAAACCCGATTCTAACTTTTTCTAATCGGAGCAATCGCTTCAACTTTGTTACTACTTTTGAGACTTTGTTTGAGTTGTTTAAAACCATCGAAAACAAAACTGATGAAATAGATTTTGACCGAAATGTAGGCACATAACAGGGAGTAAATCACCACAAAGATTATCCACACAGTTAGGCTACCATTCAGGATCCCGATCATTGCTAAAATGTCCGATTTACAAAATGGTACCAGTGGTACCACTCGACTTACCTAAGAAAATAGCCATTCCGAGGACTGTGAAGGTGGCATAAGCCGTGGCGTTGACATCAGGGTGCCTATTTTGGTACAATTTAATCATGCAGAGTACCGCCATCACATACATGAAGCTAGTATCTAAAAAAATCAAAGAGGTAAAAAGATTACAAAAATGTGTTGGTACCAAATTGGTAGTTGGACTGGCTTGGGCAAATATGGTAGCACGCCGACAGAATCCCTTCAATAATCAAGGCAATGCCCATTGCGTAATACACCCCATAATGGGCCGGAATCCCAGTCTAGAAACGTTCTACAGGTACTGTTTTTCACAAACCAAAACTTACAGTACTGTTGGGAATCTTAGTTTGGCGATGTAGTACCGCCCCCAGGAACAAAATCCCGACTATAATATACCCAACATTTGAAAAAATATGGTTAAAATCGCTCAAACCAAAAGCCGGATTGGCACATAAAAAATTATAGTAGCACATGTCTTGGTCTCCGGTCCTATTGACCACTCTTTGGTACGTAATCACGAGTTGCACCACCGGAATGCTGTAAAAAATCGCAATACTCAAAATGTGCCACAAGTAGTTGTAGGAGCGCCTTTGGTCCTTCTCGGGGGCTCGAGCGAGGAGATTCACCGTCAGTTTTTGCCTCGAAAGAAGCTCCCTTTTCACCCCTTTCGTAATCAAAGGTTCTGGTGGTTCCTCCCAGTCGTTATCAGGCACGTCATTGCTTGACTTGAATTTGGAGATGGTACCCCACCTCGTGAAGACAAAAATCATGATTGTGCTAACTATACAGAAGATCATGAGGACTCCAAGAGTGGTCAAAGAGGCAATTTCGTACTCCTTCCCATTGATACCCTTATTGATGGTGAAGGTGATTGTGGAAGTACGATTGGCGAGGATGATATTCTGTTTCCTGTGTTCGACGAGGAGGACTGAGTGTTTTTGACTGCATTGGTAGTTGTCGGCTTTTGCGACGAAGACAAGGAAGAAGCCATCGGGGAATTCGCGTTGCTGGGGGTGGAGAATAAGACAAGTTTTTGGTACGCCCGAGGAAAAAACTATTCACCAGTCTAACTTTCTGCTAACACTGCGTTTTGTTGCAATAGTGTTTCCGACTAACTAGTTGGGGAGCAGGTAATATGTCGAAAGACCAGGGCCGTACTCAYGGGGGGGGGGGGTTAACCCCCCCCCTCCCCTGAAATGCTGAGCACTTTGTGCTATATAGTGTTAAAAATTTAGTTAATTTTTCATCTGTTAATTATACAGTGTTTCATTTTTATTGTTAGGTACAAATTTAAATAGTTGATAAAAATATTTAATTTTAAGACAAAAGTATTACGAAAAATGCTATGAAAGGAAGCTACACCCCCTAAAAAAGGTACGTTTTTTAAAGGGTTTTTCCTAATATTTCAGAATAGATAAAATTACAAAATTTGGTACCTTTATATGTACA